GCCATTTGGCCGTTGTTGTTTCGTCTGTCTGCAAGTCCCTGATCTCGTTTGGCGCTTCTTTTGGCAGCGCTCTATCTTATCGGTTCGACAAGATCTACGTGTTCTTCTTCCTCTGCTTCGTCTATTGCCATCGCTGTGGCTTCCACTTTTTGGATTCTGATTATGAATTTGCGTTTTGTTGTCTTTCCCATTTTGTTGCCACTCAACTTGATTGCACTTGTTGCTTCGTGTTTTCACCAGCTTGCTTATGGCTTATTGTTATTAGTGGCATGTTAATTCACTTTGCTAATAAGTGAAAGGCTGCCAGCCAGCCAGCCAGCCAGCCAGCTAGCTAGCCAGCTAGCATACTGATTGTATACCAAACAGTCAATTGAATAACTCAGCCTGGCCACAAAACAAATTGGGATAAAACTCTGTTTTATGCTCAACATTTTGAGGCTTCCTGCGTAAATAGTTTGTTTGGGGTTTTATTTCTTATTTTTCTTTATTTCATTTTCACTTGATGAGTTTTAAATAAAAAATTGTTTGAGGTATTTTTTATTGAAAACGCAACAAATTTTCAGTAATTGATATTAGGATCAGGTAATTTTAATAAGGTAATTTTGGTCTCTGGTAATAATAGTATGAAAGTTGCTTAGATGAAGCATTTATTTATTTTGAATAATTAATATTAGTTTGTAATTTTATATATTTTTTTTTATATATATTTTTGTATTCTTTATTCATTTTAAACACTCTTTTGTCTACTATAAATTCGTACAAAAACTAAAGCAACACAATAGCGCTAATAAATGATTTAAATTTATGCAAATGCAGAAAAAAGTTTGTTTCAAAAAAAATTTTATTTTTTATTTTTCATATGAACCTTGTTAGCTATTATATTTCAAGTTTCTTATCAGTCTATCTGCATCTATATACAAATGGATTTTCGTTTTTTTCTATGGATCCTTAATTGCTTAATTGGCCTAGACAGTTCTTAAATATTTAAAATTTTTTTTCTGGCATGAAATTAGAAGAGTATATTAAATTAGTATAATGTCCACTTAGTATTGAGCCTAGAATTTATGTAGTTTACTTCGGCTCCTTAATGCAAAGGATATACCCGACTGGGTCTAACTTGTTTTAAATTATAGTATAAGAGGTAAATAAATTTGCTGCCTTCCAATTCTATTAGTAGTTTACATATAATATATCTGATCTATTGTTTCTCACATTCATATTTTTACTATTTTTTTTATTTGCCTAACCCACCAGGGTTCTGTTCTATTTATTAACTACAATATATATTTTTATTCGCGGAATTTCCTTCTCTTCATTATTAAAGCATGTTCCCAGACATGCAAATTACGCTTTTCTATTTTATTGTTGTATATATATAAATATATATGTACATATATTTTTTTTTATATATTGTAGATCACTAATTTTAGCGTTATTTTTGTGTCTTTTTTGTTTTATTTATATATATATATATATATATTTTTTTTTTTTTTTTGCGATATCAACTTCCTGACCCCGCTGCGCATCGAACCGTAAGATTCGTGGTGCTGTTAATGGTTTTGTTTTCATGTCTCCCCCTTGTTGTAGATCTCTAATTATAATAATAATATTGTTGTGTTAGATTGTATTTCGTTGTTGTTGTTGCTGCTTTTTTTTTTGGTTTTTTGGTTTTGTCATTTGCTTTTAGCATTCGAAATTGAAAACTTGTTTCGGCATTTGAACCGAGAACATCAGATAAAAGCAATTTCTAAATACAAAAAAAAAAAAAGGTAAATAAAACAAAATCAGTTTTCTGACATTTTAAGATCTTTGCTCGTTGTAGCTTCTGTATATTGCTGTAAGCTCAACTTTTACTTTGCTGACACATTGAACTTCAACTTGGCTCTGGAGATTTATGAAACTCGTTTTGAAGATTTTCAAGTGAAATGATTTATGCCTTTCATTGCTGCCCAGTTACTACTACTGTTGTTGTTGTTACTGTTGCTTCTACTCTTTTTATTGTTGCTACGGACATTAAGCACTAACTAAACATCTGGCGCTTGACTAATTCGATGACGAATTGCCTGGCCCCCCAACCTGTTCTATCCCAGTTGCAGTCAGGAAATGGCAGCTCGACACACGAGTTGGCAATTATGAACAGTGAAGAGAAAAAAACCCAGAGTTTTGCGCAGCGCATCCAAAAACTTTCAATTAGAGCCCCCCGCTGAGGTCATTGACCTGGCTAAGGCATGTCCCGCTCGCCCGTTTGCCCGTTTTATCGTTCCCCCTTTTAGCTACTTACCAATCTCGCAGTAGAAGCCGCCCCAGCCATTGGGACAGGAGCAGCGGCCACTGCGCAAGCAGCGTCCATTGTTTTTACAGGGTATTAGCTTGCACGTTTCCGAGTATTCACAACGATCGCCCTTGGCATAATCCGGACAGATGCAATGCGGCTGCAGCTTCTCATCCAGCCAGCAGTGGCCGCCCGATTCGCAGGAATCGCCGCCGCAGGCGGTGCCATCGCAGTCGCGAATGTTACGCGATTCTATAAAGAAATAAGTGCATGAAATTTTATTATTATATAATTAAATTATATATGTATATAATGATGCTCTGCATCCAATGAAAATGAGAAAAAGAAGGTATCATATTTTATTTATTTTAATTTACATGTAACTGTCTGTAGGGGGCATGGTTAATCAAATTTTCAATCAATCAGTTTCTATATTTTAGATCAGAGTGAAGAGCTCAATCCATCTGTCTCTCTGTCCGTTCGTCTGTTCGTAGCGTGGCACATCGAACTATCTATGTGTTATACTATCTTGGATTTATTATTTATTTATTATTTCATCAATTCTTCAGTGGCGTGGAAAATTGAAAATTACGCTGTATCTCCCACAGTTTTGCATCTATAGCTGCATAATTAATGCAATTATATTTTAATTTACTCAAGACCTAATATTATACTTCATATTTCATTTATAAATATAAAACTATGAATTTATACAGTAAATTAAAAATACTTTTGGTGGCGTAGCAAATGGACATAAAAAATATCTCTTAAGTTTTTGAGCTATTTTGCTATTTTTTGATTAAAAATAATGTATATAAATTGCTATTCAAAAATATACAATTTATATTTATTAAAATTCAAGCTCTCTTATATATCGATTTATTTGCAAAAAATGCCAAAATTCCAATTGGAATTTGAATTCCATTTTCCTTTACTCTCAGTTTGCATAACTTTCCCCGAGACTCATTCGACTTGCATGCGCCCATTATTTATGGTTATTAATTTAATTGATATATATACAATATACATATACGCAAAGTATATTTATACTTTTCATTAATGGGAAATGTTGTATGCTGCGTGCTGAGACTGAGACTGGGAATGGGAATGGGAATGGGTCTGGGTCTGGAACTGCGTCTGGGGGGAGGCCATCAATTATTTGCTGTCATATTTTGTGCATTTGTGACTTACCCACAATATTCGTTTCGTTGAGAACAATGCGAGTGCCGCTGACGACGAGGCCGCGGACACAGCCACGGAAGGGTATGGGGAAGCCGGAGATGGCATTGTACGGCAGCTTGGAGAGATCCTTGAGGCCGCCAATGTAGAGCAGGGCATCCGGCTCGACCAGCACCTCGGCGGACGGAGCCAGTGCCGAGGAGGCGCTGCCCTCCACCCACAGGGTTAGCCAGCGACCGCGCTGGGCCATTTTGATCTTGTGCCACTCGCCGATGGCCAGCATCCGCACACTCCGCACCACAGTCACGTGGTTGCTGGGCCCCGAAATGCGGAATTCGACAACGCCACCTTGCAGCGACAGCGAAACGAATCCAATCTTCTTATCCTGATTGTTGTTCAGCGTGCCAAAGTAGAGGAGCAGACCGCGCTCGGAGAGCGGGCGTAATTGGAATTCGATGAAAAAGAACTGCACACGATGATGCTCCTCGAACGTCTTGGAGCCCATCAGCGGCACCGGGGAGAAGCTGCGCTGCTTCTCCACCTCGTTGAGCAGCTTCATCACAAAGTGTGTGCTCGGCGTCGAGATGGGCTTGGGCGGCAGCAGCTTTTTGGTAAAGTTCCGATAGCTGACCATTTGGGAGCGCTTGGCGCCCAGCTTATCCCCGCCATCATAGAGATAGGGCCAACGCACGGCCAGATACGAACGGCGACCGGTCAGTGAGACATCGCTAAGTGAACGTATTTCTACAACGAGAATAATAAGATATTATGTACAGAATATTACATTATTGAATATACACACATATACACACATACATATGTATATTAATATTAAATCGTAAAAGTTATGCCATTTTCGCTCACCTTCCTCACAATTCTTGCCCGTGCGTCCCACTGGACAGTCGCATTCGTAGCCATTCACCAGCGGCACACAAGTTGCCTCCTCGTAGCATTTGTTATTGAACGAGTCGCAGGGATTTGTGGCCTGGGCACAGAGCGGTCCATACCAGCCCTCCTGGCAGATGCAACTGTGGCGAAATGAAAAAGAAAAAAAATCATTAGATTTTATACGAGACTCGTTAAGTTTTAGTGGACTTTACGAACAGCCGTTGCTCGACAGCTGCTACCAATTTTTTTTAGACATCAATTGGCGAACTATTTCTGGCCCATAGGCAACTAGAACATGGTCGGACTATTGTGGAACCTTTAGCTAATTTATGTTATAAAACAATCACTTATTTTGCATTAAAAAAATAAATTGATATTATAAGCCTTAAAAAATTTTCTTTGGGTATTATTATATTATCAAAGGCCTGCAAAAAAGGGTTTCTGGAACTTCGAAATCCTTCGATCAATATCATTCGATTGGGTTTGGATAATTTGATTTCAAACGGTTTTGATTTTACATAAATAATAGTTTTGCTTAGTCTTATCATTCTTACTGAAGAAAATGCTATCAAGATTCAATACCCAATCCTAAATACTCTTATATGTAGAATCTTATCAAAGTGAATATAAAAAAAAATACCTCAGTATTATATACCTTATATTTCATTAAGGTCATACTTCAATTTTCTTTATAGTGACAATTAAGTACATATAGCTTGATCCCATTGAAAATAGGAAATTTGGGTATAATTTTTCATTTTCTTTAATGCGAATTCCGATCATGCCAAGACAAATTTTAAGACTGAAAGACAAATGTTGAATGCTCTACATCCTCAGTAATAAAAGTATATAAAATGCTCATCCTACCCCAAAAAAAAGAGAAGCTACATCTATTTATCCACTTTATGAATGACTTACGTAAAGGTGGCGCCATGCTGTAGGCAGGCTCCGTCGTGCTGGCAGGCGTGCCTGTGGCACTCACGCGTGCCGCATTGTCCGACACCACGTCCGCGGACACCGCGTGTCTCCTGCAACGGCACCGTCACCTGGCCGGCCTTCAGCTGGACGTCGTAGATGCAGCCCTGGAAGCCCGAGTGCAGCGGCAAATCGTGAGGCAGCGTATTGAAGTTGGCAATCTCATGGCCGCCCAGATAGAGTATGGGCAGGACGTCCATGCGGCTGACGCTGCCGGGCGAGCGGCCTGTTATATTGAACTTGCCATCCACCGAGAGCCAGGCCTGACGACCGATGCGACCCACTTTGATCTCGTAGGGCACACGCGGTGCATCCAGCCGAAAATCGATGGGCTTCTGTGTGAAGATGCGTCGCGGTCCAGCGCCCAGATTCCAGGTTAGCATTATGTAGCCCTGTATGAAGCTGACGGCCAGATGATCGCTCTTCTCGTCATGATAGCCGGACTGGCCCAGAAAGGCGAGCAGTGAGATCTGCGACATGGTCTGTGGCAGGATCTTAAAGCTCAGCTCCAGCGAATACTCCAGGGGCACGGGCACCGTGTAGGCCACAAACGAGGAGAGCCCATTGACGCTGCCCGAGAAGGAGGGCAATGCCACCTCGAGATCTGTCAAGGAACAAATAGAGAAAGAAAATGGAGTAAAGTAAATGAATTCAAAGGGGAATATGTTAAATGACACTCACTGTGCTCGCAGTAATGTCCGTGCTTGCCCAGCGGACAGAGGCAGAGGTAGCCGCTGCCCGGAAATTGGACACAGGTGCCACCATATTGACAGGGATTGTCCTCGCACACGGATATCTCACAGGTGGGGCCCATGTAGCCGGTGGGGCATTTGCATTTCCATTTCTCAGCCTTGTCACCGTTCTCGTCCAGCTCGTTCGATTCAATCTTGATGCAGGCGGCGCCATTGCGGCACGGACTCGACAGGCAGGCCAATGAGCCGCATTCCGTAATGCCAAAGCCATCCAGGGCGTCGCTGGGACAAGGTGGGGCGAGAGATGGGTTAAAAGGCTGGTTAGTGTCATCTCGAATTTCATTACGCCGCTGCTAATTCGCATGTCAATTGTTCGAGTCCCGGCCTACAACTGTCATGCCCCGTTCCCTACAATCCGCCCTCCGTTCTCCTCCCTCGTACCCCTTGAAGTGGCGCCCACTGTTGTCAGCGTGGCGCCCCGTCAACCATTTGTCTTGTTGTCCGCCCTGACCGGCTGTTGGTGAGCGCGTTTTAATGCGCTGACAAATGGCTTTCGCATTTCTCGACTCGTTCTCCGTCTTCTACGACTATCTATACACAATCCGTCGTTTGCAAAGTGCTAAAATTGGTTTAATTCGTAATGTCCCTTTAACGTTGACATTTTGTCTTCCTTCTATTTGCTGGATTACACTGTCAAAGGGTTAACGCAGCCAATGCTTATCGATAATAATAATAATACTGAGAGCGAACAGCAAATTGAGTTTATAGCAATGCTAATGGAAATATGTATATATATACACATAGTTTGGGCATATAGATATTATGGGCTATCGATTGTTGCTATTAAGGATTTATCTGTTATCTTTGCTTCTATTTGAATAAAATGTTGTTTTCTTCTCGTTTCGATTATATGGAGGGATATATTATTGGCTAGCGTTATTACTCTTTTAACATGACTTTTCATGTTATTTAGCTTTGCATTTAATTATACTGTCATAAATAACCTTTTCGATATTATAAAGATAGATGTCATATTGAGGTTCTCTTATTAATTATCTGCCCAATTTACTTAAGTAGTTTCGCAGCTACCAATCCTGTGTTTTATGAGGTGAACTTGTCATATGTTTTTTATCGAATGCTACTTATCGATTGCTTTTTATCGACTTTTTTTATAAAATCCTTTATTTGGAATACTGTTTATCAACTGTGGTTTATCGAATTAGGTTGATCTAATACTGTTCATATCATATCATTATTTTCGAATTGTGTATATCGATTTCTGTTTATCGACTAATGTTTGTCAAATTATGTTTTTAGATTACTGTAGCTCGACTGCTGTCTTACGAATGTGCCTTATCGAATACTGTCTATTAACTGGTACTTATCAATGTTCGTTTATCGACTGTTGCTTATCGAATGCTGCTTAGCGAAGGGTATGTTCCAAATGTGTTATTGATTATTATGTATGCAAGTTTATTTACTAATTTTCTTATGAGACTTTTTATAATATTTAAAGTTGCATTCAAATGATATATGTATATGGGTAATTGAATATTTAAGCGTTTATCGTTTATCGAATTCTATATTTTATCAAAAGTTTTTCATCGTATTTATATACTTTCTTACCATCAAATACTAAACTAAAATCAAATTGATTATAATAAGAGCTTTAAATATCAACTTCGTCTATCGATAATGCACTACCAATTGGTTGTCTATCGAGTGCTATTGTTTCAGACTGCTGTAATCTTATTTATGAGGATAAAGATTCAACTTTAATTGCCTGACTTTGCTTTCTTTGAATGGAATTTGTCGACTTAGCCTCCTGACTGGTTTTTGTTCTGCCCGGGTTTCATTTTTCCCAATTATTTACGCTAATGATTGACGTATATTTTTCCTGCTTGATAAGGCTCCGCCGTAAACTTCAATGGCAGAAATGTTTGTTAGCTTATTTCTTTTGATGTGCCCACGTTAAGCAACTGTTTGCAGTCTCTCATCGACTTGGCTTAGGGCCCATTTAATCCTGCGGATGATTCTACTGCATATTCCCGCAGAGCTTGTTTACTGTGCTACCTGCAAGCTGGTGGCATGTGGCATGCTCTGGCCGCCGGCTGAGATGCGCGTATGTGGCATAAACATTTAAGAGGCGCCCTCATAACTTTGCTTGACTTGCCTCGCTCATTATTTGCGCCCCCCAATTGGCCAAATGGCCAACTCGCCAACGGCTGTGTGTGCACTCCGGTCTATTAGGGATGACTTACCCAAAGATTTCGCGAGCCTGTCCATTGATGCGCAGTGTATGTAGGCAGCCGGTGAAGCCGGTGCCGCTTTGAGCTGGCGGCAGTTCGATAATGAGGCCAATTGGCGCCTGGGGTGCGCCGCCCAAATGCAGCCAAGTGTTCAATATGACCTCGGGCGTGTGCAGTCGCGGCGGCAACAGTTTCAGCCATGTCGGCTGATCCCCGGACATGGCCAACGTGTCGTTGACGAGCAGCGAGGCATTGCAGTGCGTGTAATTGCGGCTGAAGTCCAATCTGAAAGCAGACAGAAGCGTTTTTGGTTGAGCAGTAGCAGCGATAAAAGTTTCACCGCCCACAGCGAGCCCAGCCCCATGTCCCATGTCCTATGGCTCTGGGCTCTCCCATCCCCGTCGCCGCTCTGACCCTTCGGTTCGCTTTTAGCTGTCCTATAGTGCACATATAAAATATTTAATATGCCGCACACTGCGGGCAACTTTTTCGTTGCGTAGGGTATTCAGCAACAACAACAACAACAACAGCAAATATATTTATATGTATAAAATAAAATGAGAAAAGAAAAAGTTATTTTCAGCATGCCGAAGCGTGCAAATATTTATGACGCCCGCACAAAGATGCCTCATAAAACCCCCTCACCACCTACCCAGCCCCAATGGACAACATTTTTTCTCTCAACTGACCTTTTATGGCACCCGGAACACCCCCCTTAAACACAGCCCCATAACCATGGCACCGTGGCTGCCAAATAGTTTTAAATAAACCGAAAGAAAAATCTATAAACTTAATATAATTACAATGCTTAATGCTATTATTTAACTCTATTAAATTATAGTAATTAATTATCACCATCCTTTTTCTTAATTTTCATGCAATTTTCATACAGTTTGTGTCACTGTGCAACCCGTTGCTGCCAATAGGCTGTATTGTCAATCGACTGTCAAATTTTTGGCGCGCCTTTTCAGGAATAAAGGCTACGGCTCGGCATCACTTTTTTTTTTTTTTTTTGACCCTACCCCATTGAGAGGTTCCTTTGCCCCTTTGTTGTTGTTGTGGAATTTTGTTTTTATTGTTTTGTAACGGTAAATGTCACCTGGCGTTATTTGAATGCTTTCTGCTCAACGCTCTTTGGCCAGAAAATGTTTCTGATTTTTTTTTGTTTGTTGTTTGTCAGGCATTTTTGTTGTTGTTTGCTTTTGCTTCATTTTATATTCGATCTGGGATTCATATCTCAGTGCGTTCATTACGTTTGAATGTTGACATTAAATGCGAGAAGGGAGACATCAATGGGACACCAAAATTTTATTGATACAATTTTTTTTTATTTATATTTTGGCTCAATTTGTACTTATTGAGGGGGGAGAGGGAGACAGAGTTGAAAAATATATTAAAATATGAGAAGATTGCATGCAGTTTTTACTACAAATTGAAATTG